TGAACCGGCGCACGGGCCCCGCCGTGTGGGGGCTGCGTGCGCAGGTGGATCGGAAGCTGTACAAGGAGAACATGCAGGTGAGAGCAGCCGGGGTGGGCAGCACGGGGGACTGGGGGCCTCTTGACCCTGATGAAAGGATCCAGGTTAAACTGAAGAGGGTGCAGAGAAGATGCCCAAAGGCCTGAGCAGAAAGGCATCACAGTGTTTTAGTTATTCAGAAGAGAAACTGAGGGGGTACCTCTTATGGTGCAGGCACAAAGGAGATATGTGGTATTCCTATGCTCTTTAATCTAGGAGTGAAAGGCTAGAGTCAAATTCACATGGGAAACGGAGGCCAAAAAATTTACCCATTGGGGTAACTCACAGGTGGAGAAACTAGCAAGAAAAATGGGGGACGCTCTTATCTGTTGATACTGTCAAGTTGGGATGTTTTCCTGCAAGACGCGTGCCTTAGTCGAGCCTGGGTTCTTCGGCAAAATACGGGAATAACTAGATGACATTACCTGACTTTGCTGACGTACAGAACTGTTTCTGGATTATCCAGTGGTCTCTGTTCTGTTATTAAAACCTGCAGATCTCTGAATAAGTAGTGTATTAGTTCTGCTTAGTAAATCCCAGACATCGCTGCAGTAATTGAATGCTATAGGCACTTGAGTTACGCTTCTCCTGCTTTAAAATAACTTGGTAATGGAGTGGGAGAGAGAGAAGCTGCTACCCAGTAATTGGAAGTGTGTGGTTCAGTGTTTGGAGGAAGATGTGTGGTCGTAGGGGAGGATGGACAGATACTCGTACTAATTCCTTCTCTCCTGATAGAAAGAAATCCTTAATACCCCATTCCTGACTGTTCATGAGGGGTCTGTGGAAGATCTTCTCTTGAAGGAACCAGAGTCAGAACATCCAGGGAAATGCCAAGTCAGTGGGGTCCTTCTTGGTATGTACTGTAGCTAGATAGTAAAGATATTTGATGTGTCACTTCCCCCTCAAAACTGAGAGGAACCTTGAAAGTGAATATGTTTCAGGAATTAACTGGTAAAAGCATATATATGGCCTAGAGAGAATATGAGCCAATCAAGACAGGCAGGTGTTACTGTTAACACTAAGTCTTTTGGAGAATGACAGTATTTAAGCTTTTGCCCCTAAACGAGGCTTTGGTCTTGTCTTCTCAGTTCAGACAAAAATGAGAGACTAGCCAAGATTAGAAATGCAGGGCTCTGAATAGATCATAGTGCACCTGCTTTTATGTCTCCACTGTTTTTGCCTGTGGTAATATAAGGCAGACACATCCAATAATGCTGGGCTGGTTCTAGGCAACATCAACACATCAGGGCCTTGGTTCTTAATGTGTATGTTTCTGAAAACTCTGTTACAGGTGATGGCAGCAAAGTACATGCTGGCAGTGTCATACTGACCACTGGCACCTTTCTGCGGGGGATGGTCCTCATTGGATTGGAGAAGCATCCAGCTGGGCGATTAGGGGATCAGTCATCCACTGGACTGGCTCAGACTCTGGAGAAACTGGGATTTGCTGTAGGGAGGCTGAAGACTGGGACCCCACCCCGACTTGCCAAAGACACCATTGATTTCAGCATTCTGGCAAGGCAGTGGGCTGACAGCCATCCTGTCCCATTCAGCTTCCTCAGCGAGACTGTTTGGATCAAGGTGTGATGCAGTTGGGGCAGGGAAGGCCATTTTGTAGTGTGATTCTTCCAGTACTCTGCTCAGCACCTTCAAGAAGGTGTAATAAGCTGTCTTTGCTGAGAAAATAGTCTGGTTGATATTATGACTCCTGTAGACAGGAGTTACCTCATTTCCCCATGAGTGCTCAGGATTCTGCTTCTCTGAGACATCAGCTCTGAAGCAAAGGGGAAAACTAAGGCTAATGCAAATCTGCACGCCATCCCACACTTCCTTTGCAATATCAGTCTCTGATTAGGTGTGTATGTTGGGCCCCAGCTCAAGTCTGGGATCGTGCCCGGTATGCAAAAGCCAATAAAGATACCAGGGGTGAAAGTATAAAGATTTATTGCTAGCAATACAAGGTGCAAGCGGAATAATTTCACGTAACAAGCACACAGAGTCTTAATTATGAGCATCTTTTATACAGGAGTATTGGACCTTCATAAGCATTCTTGTTTGCTAATTGGTTATAAGGGAGTGACGCAAGGAGTTCTTTACTGCGCATGTCTCTATACCTGTGTTTTAGCTATGTATCTCATTTCCATACATGTATGTTTCATTAGCATACTTTCTCCCCACCTAGGGGTGTGAATCTTAATATTTAAATCAGCTCTTTGCCCTACTCCACTAATTTTATTTTTGTTTTCAAGTCTCCTTTATCTAAGACTGTCTTCTCCTTATCATTGCAATTGAGCATTAGTTACAGAACAGAGACTTTTGCTTGGGCTATGTGTAGTGGTTTCTAGGTCAAACCTAACATTTTCCCCCTCTGGAGCATTTTTAATTATTTTTATTATAATTGCTCCACTCAATTTGTTTCAACACAAACCTAGTATTCTCAGCTTTCTTCGTTTGTAAAATCATTTGATTCACCTTAGGTCTGAAGATAGATAAGACGACAGGTGAACATTGTATACATAGGATATTTGATTGGTCTTGTTACAAAGGATTCTTCTACCTTGGTTCAATTTGAAGCAATTATTAGTACAATTAACTATTAGGAAACATTCAGAAGCATTAGCTGTTGCCTGAACCCGTACGGAAAACATGTCTCTATTCTTCTCTTTTACAATAGTCCCCCACTTATATATATTCTGATATGTACTTTTCTTCTCTACATTCTTCAGCATAGTATAATTTTGTAAAATTTTTAAAGGGGTTGGTACTGCGATTAAGCATGAGGTAAAAACCAGGTGAGCATTGATCCCTCCCGCTAAGCAGAAGTCCGTTCTATTTAAAATTTCCCGGGCCAGATAAATCCAGACATTTTCCTGAGGGTCAAATTTTTGTTGTAAAAGGGTTTCCCCTCCTATAAGTAGGAGTGGACAGATCAGGGTGCCCCACAATAAAACCTTGAACAATTTCATAATAAGGCTTATAAAACTTAATCAAAGATTGTCAAATTATTCAAAGTTCCTTTCTTTTGAATAGGAATTTCAAGTCTCTTATTGGCTCCACCTTCCACTGTTCTCTGTCTCCGGTCCCGGAGTCTGCAGGGATTCCTTCTTGTTCTGGTCCAGCCACCGGCTTTAGGCGACTGGAATGTATCCAAGTCTTGATTCCTTCGAGCTTTGCGGCCGTCGGGGTCGTTAGAAGTACCCTATATGGGCCTTTCCATCTGGCTCGAAGTGGTTCCTCGTTCCAATCTTTCACAAGGACGTAACTCCCAGGTAATAATCGATTTCCCAGGGCAGGATACTGGTCCTGTGTCTGCAGCACGTCCCGTACCTGCTGATGGATGGAAGACAAAACAGAAACCAAGGACCATACATATTCTCTAATCATTCCCTCTCCTAAAACATGTAACTGTTGTTCAGTACCCATGGGCAGACTCAGAGGGTAAGGCTTACCATACATTATTTCAAACGGGCTTAATCCCAATTTAGAATGTGGTGCGACCCTTACTCGTAACAGGGCCAAGGGTAGGGCCTCTGGCCATTTGAGTCGAGCTTCTTGGCAAATCTTTGCAAGGTGTCTTTTTAAGGTCTGATTCATACGTTCCACCTTTCCACTGGACTGAGGTCTCCAAGGGGTGTGTAAATGCCAGCTGATTCCCAGGAACTCAGAAACCTTCTGAGTAATTTGTGCAATGAAATGTGGGCCATTGTCTGACCCTATTCCTTTTGGAAGTCCGAGGCGAGGTATGATTTCTCGTAGGAGTGTCTTGACTACCTCCCGGGCCTGGGCAGTCCGACATGGGAAGCACTCAACCCAATTAGAGAAAGTGTCCACAAAGACAAGGAGATATTTTATCTCTTGTTGCCGGGGCAACTCAGTAAAATCCACCTGCTATTCTTCTCCTGGCCCATTGCCTATTCTCTGATGTCCTGAAGTTTTTCTTCTCCCTCCTTATGGGTTATTTCTCTGGCAGACCTCACATGTCTCTGATACCTCCTTGGCAGCCTCTCTTAATCCCACTCTAGTTACATAGTAACTGATCCATCTTACCAGGGCCCTGGGTCCGTAGTGGGTACCATGATGAGTGCTCTTTACTACCACATGAACCCAGGCAGCTGGGATGATAATGCGGCCATCCCTTGCTACCAGCCACCCGTGCTCCCCCTTCTTTGCTTGAAACTCTTTTATCAATTGTTTGTCTCTCAGATTTGGCCTTGAAGAATAAACAGCTTCCAATGTTTGCAGGCAGTCATGTACAAGATCTGGTGTGTCAGCCATAGATGGCAGCAGTGTTGCTGGATTTACAGTGCGAAAAATGGCCAATTTTTTT